AATAACATCACTCGTAACATCATATGATTTGATTGGCTTAATTTACAGGAGATCTATAACTGATGGGTAGGATGTTAATCGTTTCCGCAGTAATGGGCAGCCAACTTTGAGCAATATTTGTAAAAAATTGATATTTTTAACTAGTATTCGTTCAATAAGTAATATTATAGAAAAGTTATTTCTCTATAACACTCTTTGTGCCCCAACCCTAGACTCTGAAGTCTGAATTTAGCAGATGCAAAAAATTTTTAGAAACAGTGTTCTAAGTTCTTTAATAAAATAAAATTTCGCCGCATCATTTATTGATTTGAAGCACAGGTTTAAGATGTCAAAGAGTATCATTCTTGATGTATAATTATTTTGATCAAAGAATGATAGTAAAATAAAAAATCTATTAACTACAATTATAATTGGTGCAGTAAATAGCCGCAATACATTATAGTGTCTTAAGCAGAAACTTCGTTTTCGTAATTCTTAATGGAACAGGATAATATTAATTTATTCTTCAATAATATCAAGGTTAATAATTTCTGGATGATAAAAATCTAAAACTAGTAAAAATCATACTAAAGTAATCAGGTTCATTTATTAACATACTATACAACATTTAGAAATGAATCTGATGATCCAGTAAAATTTCTTAGATATGCAGTAATAAATTTTATAATTGAACTTATATTATATTTTTTATATCATAGGTTTAATACATTTGTAAATTAATAAAGTACATATATAAAAGGTATGCTATCTCAAATTTCATAATTGAATTTACATAAATTGCATAGTTTATTAAAAAGGATTTTTCATATCTAAAAATCTTAAGATTCTTAGTTGTAAAATATTAAACCAATAGTAAGCCAAAGTATTTATAAAGGTAAAATTATCCACTTTGTTATATTAAAACGCTTACCTTTACCCACTAAAAAATTGATTAATATATCAAGATCTTCTCTATTAACTTCCTGAAAATAATTAATCGTAACCTTCGAATGACTTAACTTATCAAAAATTTCTTCAATTGAAAGGCAATTTTTCTCAGCAGCTTTAATTCAAAATAATTATCAGACAAATTATTGATTATTAACATTCCGATTTTTAATTCATAGAATATACTTTCTATTATTAAATTGAAGTTGTCATATGATTTTCTCCAACGAGACTTTCTGAATTAAGATTGTCAGAAGATGGTATTGTTTCTCTAAGCTTTTTATTTATTTCTTTGTTTTTTTCATGCTCTGATGCAAACTTTTTATTCTTAAAAGAGTTACGCAGATAATGTGATTGATAAAATCTGCTATAAAACTTGGACCAAATTATATCAATCTTAATTTGCTCAATTCTTTCTTGCATGTTTTGATTGTGTATTTTCCAACTTTCTGAATCATCCGATTTAGGAATCATCGGTGTGTGAGTCAGTTTGACTGGATCATTTCTAATACGATTGATATAAACGTTTGTTGAATTTTTTTGTTTTTTTTTTCTATTAGTTTCAGACATCACTATAAAATTTGTTGTGGTAAACAAAGGAATTTGTAATCTTAAAAAATATGGTTAAAAAAAAGAAAGAAAGCTATTAATTTGCTACCAAAAAAAAAACAAACTTTAAAGTATAATAGAGAAGAAATGTTGCATGAAGATCTTTTTAAATAATATTACAGAAAATGTAGTGAAACCTGAACTTGCATAATACCCTTCCCGTTAATAAAAATTTCAGAATTTACACAGTATCTTTCATGATGAGAAATAATAGATTTTTTTAACTGAAAGACATTGAGGAAAACAAAAAATCTTCGAACCTTTACTTTAAATTCAAAAAATGATTAAGATTGAAAGAATCTATAACTTTTATTTCAAATTGTTAAAAATAATTAGTCTCAGATACAAGATTTTTTGAATATAGAATTATTAAAAATTAAATATTTTGTTTTAACCCTTTTAGAATAGTACAAACTTATCATGACATGGATGCCCGAATGCCCGAATCCAGGACTTCCAGCCATCATCACAGCAAAAAAAAACTTTCATATTTTGCATATTTCGTATTATAAACATATCCCAAGGTTCGAATCGGTCGATACCGTAAGTTCCATATACAATTGGCTCGTAAAGCATTTTATACTAGATAATAATCGATAAAGATCAGCTCGAGCTTCTACTTAACTTGAAAAATGAAAAATATACTTAACTGCCAAAATATCAATCCAAAATATCAATATGACAAAAGCCTCAATAATTAATACAAAAATTAGAATATAATTACAAGTGCAAAACATGAGGAGTAATTTTTTCACATATTTAACATGCGATAAAATTTTTAAGGAAGTTCATCGAATTTCCTATGAGCATTTTGTTCTTTCAT